GTAGTTATGTTAGTTATGATAGTTTAGTTATGATAATTTAATTTAGTTATGATAGTTTAGTTATGATGTAAATACAATAAAAATTAAACCAAGATTTAGAATAATTATCATTTTGATCCATACATTGGTAATGTCTGACTGGGCCTCGTGACACTTTATGTTCAACAAATTGGGCCCCGAGGTCAAAAAGGTTAAGAACCCCTGATTTACCCAAACGCAATGATGGCACTGTTTTTAAAATGGCATTTCACAACAGGTTTATGTGGTCTAAATCTGTCAGTGTCACAACTGGCCTGGTTGTGTTTTGGTGTTTGTGGTGGGATTCATCCCCTATTCTGTGAAGGTCCAACTATTATATTCAAAGCCACGTATTTGTTAAATAATATCTGTCTAAATCTGAAGTGTCATATGATTTTAGTAGATATTCAACATAATCAACATTATTTCAACACCTTTAAGTAGTGCAGGCTACCACCAAGCAAGAGACAGCTTGAAGACCAAGGAACTGTTCACACAAGTGTCTGAAGAACAGACACTGTATGTGTTGGGTTAGAATGTAATGAGGAACCCTGAGCACCTGGTGTTTATCATCAGAGACTGGAAAACTGCTCAGTTTTAAAGAAAAGATGGATGAAGCAAAATGCACAGAAATTCTTGACCAAAATATGTTGGAGCCTTTTGGAGATTTGAGACTGGAATGAAGGATCACCGTCCAGCAGGACAGTGATCCTGAAAACACTGATAATCAACACTAGTTTAGGAAAAAGTAACTAAAATATAGAGTTTTGGGGTCTGAATACTGTACATACTTTCATTTTTCAGTTATTTTTTTTAATTTTAGAACTATGTAAAATAATTTTCCCCTATTAATCTTTATAAGTTTTACTTTTACAGTATAGTTACAGTATGTTTTGAAGAATTATTACTTATCAAAAAGTGAAAAATCTATTTGAATTCCACATTGTAAGGCAACAAAATAAAAAGGATTCCAAGAGGAAATTATACTTTTGCAACTCAATGAATTTGCATTAAATCTGAAGAGCACATCATCAAAAGCATTTCTGTTGGAAGTATGGGCAGGTTTGCCAAGAAACTTGTTTGACAAAATGCAAAAGCTTTAATTTTTAGGTAAAATGCATGATAATTGTTGTGTATAACAAAATAACTATAGTATAATATCTGCCAAGACTATACTGTCTTTTCCAACCACAATTCAGTTCAATTCAAAACTAGTTTATTGATCCCAGAGGGAAATTAGGTCACAGTGTCTCACAGCTTTTCACACTGTGAGGAGGTAACATCTGTTTCTGTGATGTTTAATCATTTGCCTGGTCCTAGCTGAACAGCCAATCATATTGCAACACTATTTCTTGCAATAAATAGAAGCAAAGCCTCTGTGGTGAAACCTGCTGTTGCACCACAGACATGATGAAGAAGTTGACAACAGAAGTGGCTGGGCCTGTCAACAAGTCATCATATAGGAGGAACAAAGAAAACCTCTAAGTGGACACAGGTGTGTGTATGTGCACATTTTTATTACATCGTGGGAACCAGTATACAGAAAAAAGGCAGCCTCGTGGACTGAACTGGCATCGTGAGGACGTACGGATGCTGTTTTCGGGTGTGGGGTTGGGTTTAGGACCAAGGTGTGAATTGAGTTTAGGTTAGTTTTAGGGTCAGGTACCTGTGAGGTTAATTTTAGGGTAAATGGTCAGGGTTAGAATATAAAATTACCAGAAAATGAATGGAAGTCAATCCACGGTCCCCACAGGGACATAAAAACAAACCTCTGTGTGTGTGTGTGTGCACATGGCACAAAGGGCGGTGGTTAAGAGCTGAATCTACACTAAAATGTACCTCAGTGGTCTAAATAATTATTAAACAGTTTTTTGAGCTTTACTGTTTCTCCTTTAAAACTGTTTGCATTCGTCCATTTCTTAAACTCAAAAAAAAAAAAAAAAAGACAAGCTGTCCTCCCTGAGCCATAGTCCTCCTTTTTTTGTGTTTTCTGAGAAGTACCATCAGCTTTCACTGGAAATAACTCTTCTCTATGTTGGAGACAGGAAGCTTGACCGGCTGTGTGTTTAATAAAGAAATCTCCAGACTTATCATTTTTCTGCTMTGGGATTATTAAACTGCACATTTGTACACATACACTGCAGAGGTGTCAAAAGTATTCACATTCACTACTTCAGTAGAAGTATAGATACTAGGGTTTTAAAATACTTTTTTGTAAGTAGAAGTGTCAACTCAAGCTTTTTACTCAAGTAAAAGTATGAAAGTACTGGTTTTAAAGTATAAAAGTAAAAGTAATGAACACTTTTAAAAAGCCATTAAGGATAAAAGCTCAGGCTGTGTCACAGAGTTCCATATCATACACCCCCCCCCACCTTTCTTCTAAAGACAGTAATGAGTATAATGTTAAATTAAAATGTTAATGTTTAAATTTTTGAAATTAACTAACTAGACTAGTTGTTTCAGCCATGATCATCTTCATTCTAGGCTACATGTGCTACAGTCTGTCCTGCTGGATGTGATGTGATTTGTGTTATACAGGTGTGATGGAGTGAGTTCAGACCAATAGGATATCAGAATGGAAGGACAGATTTCTATTTATTTATTGTTTTCTGAACAATGAAAAGATGGAATAAAAACAAGTCAAAGTTAAATAGAAATTAGATACTTTGTGCATTTTTTAAAAAAATAAGGTGTAGAAAGTACAGATAATTGAATTAAAATGTGAGGAGTAGAAGTAAAAAGTAAGCTGAAAAATAATTACTCTGCTAAAGTATGAATAACCAACATTTCTACTATATATATA